GCAACCCTGAGCTCTCCATCTCGAGTGTCTCCACCTTGAAGAAGATCTGCCGGGAGTGCAAGTACGACCTGCCGCCCTACGCTGCCAACATAGTTGCTGTGTCGCAGGTAGGAGCTGGGTGGATGTGTGGCGGTGAGCCGGGATGTGCTCCGTGCAAACCCTTTGCTCCACATGGATCAGGGCAGGGGGATGCAAAGAAACAGCTCAGAGCATCTTGCTTGGTGTGGGGGACTTGTTGTCCATCCTGTTCCTCAGCTAGTAGACCTGGGTGGCAGGCCCCGTGTCCTCCTGTGAGTGCAGCAATGGCAGGTGGTGGCAGACGTGACCTCCAAGGGGGCTACTGGGGTTGCACTTGGGCATCCATCCTTTCCCCGCAGTTTGCCTTGTTGGGGACAGCATCCTCCCAGCTCTGCACCCCTAGACAGCTGGTGCTGCTGCTCAGCATCCTGGGGGGCATCCTGATGTTCGAGCCTCTCCGTAGAGTCTGAGCTGAGGTTGTGCAGAGACACATGCCACTTGTCTGTGCCCCCACCGATGTCAGTTGTCTTCAACCCCTGCATCAGTCCTGTCTCCTGGAAGCGAAGGGGCTTTCTGCAGCACTTACCCTTCTCTTTCTCTCTCCCCTTCCCTTTGGCAGGAGGTGTTGATGAAGCAGATTCACAAGGTAAGAGGGGCTGGCTCACACCTCTGGCTGGTTCTGTTTGACCCCATTAGTCACACTCAGCTGAAGACATGAGGGGTGCTGCCACGAGCTGGGCTGAACCTGGAGGAGAGCTCAGCGCTGCAGCCATCATGTGTGGGTCCCCGAATACCTGCTGGCTGCCTCTCGCTGTGCTGATGGGCTCCCACCACACATGGGCTGGGGGTCACACTGCAGAATATGTCCCCATAGAGTGGGAAGCCCCCAGGGAGACTTAACTCTTGCAGTTCCTAGTCCATCCAAGCCCAAGGATGCCAAGATGGCAGGCACGTCTTCAAGAGGAAAAAGGAGGGAGATAAGCATGGGGACAGAGCCCAGGCTGTGCCTGTGACCAGGGTGGGATGGGATGGTTGACCCCACAGGAGCTGAGACAGGTCTGTGCAAAGGATGGTGTGGTGAGGTAGGGTGAGTGGTGCCAGTATGGAGCACCACTGGGCACCAACTAGTCTTTCCTTGGTGGGTTGCTGAGAAAAGGCCAGGTGTGCTGGTGGCAGAGTGGCTGTTCCCTGGGTTCTGCCAGGGTGGTAGGGAGCTGCTCCCCACTCCTGCAGTGAGGTGCACTAGGGTGACCCAGACACAGCAGCTCAGGAGCTGCAGCGTGCTGGGGTCCTGGCTTTTCTGGCTGTCTTAGCTGGCATGTGTGCAGTAGGGCTGCAGGCTGGGCAGTGACCTGCCCCGTTGTGTCTCCTCTCTGTCCCAGACGAGCCAGTGCATGTGGCTGATGCAGGCTCTTGGTTTCCTGCTCTCTGCACTGCAAGTGGAGGAGATCCTGAAGAACCTGCACTCCCTGATCACCCCCTACATCCAGCAGCTGGAAAAGCTGGCTGACGAAACGGTGAGTGCCCTCATGCTACCTCCATTCAGAAGTGGCTTCTCCCGCTGGCTGTAGCCCTGGGGCTGCCGTCTTGAAGCACACTCTTGAACGTGGGCTGAAGAGAGTGGAGGGAACAGCTGTCTGGCACTTTGCCTCTACAGTCCTGGTTCCTCAGCATCCCAAAGGCATGACTGTGATTGAGCAGTGTGGTCTATGTTACATTTTGGCTTTATTTTCCCTGGCAGCCCAATCCCTCCAACAAGCTGGCCATCATCCACATCCTGGGCCTGCTCTCCAACTTGTTCACCACCCTAGACATCAGCCATCATGATGATGACCATGAAAGCACCGAGGTCAAGAAGCTGCCAGTGCAGCAAGGACCTAACCCAGTGAGTACAGCAGTAGCTTTGTGCTCCTTGCCACAGCCTGGCCAAAGCCTCGCTATTCTCTGCTGGTGCCAGGAGAAGGGGATTAATGGGGAATGCAGCAAGTACCATGAAGAGGGCAGTGCTGATGCATTCCAGCTGAAACAAGTCCTTCAGCTCATCCCATTGCTTCCAAGGTGGGCAGAGGTGATCTGCAGGATCCCTCTTGCCCGGGCACTGCTGTGGAGGACAGCCCGGGCGCTGTCTGCCGGCTATGAGCTGTGCCAGGCTGCTTCAGCAGGGAAGAAAGCTGCCCAGCTTCAGAGCATGGAGAAGGCAGTGGTGGCTGAAGGTTTGAGTCCAGGCAGTGCTTAGTCTTGAGTCTCCCCTTCCTGGTGCCATGGTGGCCATGGGACTCTTCAGTGCCTCTCATTCCTTACAGGTGGTGGTGGTTCTGCAGCAAGTCTTCCAGCTCATACAGAAGGTTCTCAGCAAGTGGATGAATGATGCCCAGGTGGTGGAGGTAACTGTGCCCTTCCTGTGTACTGCCTGCAGCTCTGCCTGTCCTTGCTGACCTGAACTGGGGACAGCAAAGGACAGACTCTGGGTGATGTCCCCTGTCTTGCTGGGTTGTCTGGACCAGTGCTGCTTGCTGTCACCAACAACATCCGGCCATTCTTGTCTGCCTTGTGCCCCATCAGCTCTGCTCCTCTCCAGTTACAGAGGCCCTGCCATGAGCAGGGAGATGGGAGATGGAGGTCTACCAAACCTGTGTTCCCTAAGGGGATAGCTCTGCTCTGACCTGGACCTGTATCATCTGGTGTTTCTCCAATTTACTCAATTCAGTAATGCTCAGGTGCAGTGTCCCACCAGC